AAGGATGTTGAAAAACAAGTTTGTCCAGAGGAGGGCGACTAAAATAGTGAAGGGTCTGGAAACCATGGCCTATGAGAAATGACTTAGAGAACTGGATATGCTTAGCCTGGAGAAGAGATGGTTAAGAGGTGATACGATAGCCCTGTTTAAATGTTTGAAGGGATGTTATATTGAGGAGAGCGCTAGCTTGTTTTCAGCTGCTCCAGAGAACAGGACCTGGAACAATGGATGCAAGCTACAGGAAAAGAGATTCCACCTCAACATTAGGAGGAACTTCTTGACAGTGAGAGCTATTTGACAGTGGAACACTCTCCTTCGGAGTGTAGTGGAGCATCCTTCTTTGGGGTTTTTTAAACAGAGGCTGGATGGCCATCTGTTGGGGATGCTTTGATTTTGAGTTCCTGCATGGCAGGGGGTTGGACTGGATGGCCCTTGGGGGTCTCTTCCAACTCTATGATGCTATGATTCTATAGATGTAACACAATTTGCCATGGCAGTGCTATCCCCAGTTTCTGTTACAGCAGTGAATGAAGGTAGTATGATTTCTCATGGCAGCTTTTGCTTGATAACCAACCAGTGGTAAGTGGCAAATTATTGGAAAGAGATTAAGCCAATGGGGAAATTGGTGACAACCTCTGTCCTGGACATGTAACCAGGTGTGCTTTCCACTCCTGTGGGTTATTTTGGATTTCAGCCATTGCATCTGAGCGTCTGTGTTAATTGTGTGCACAAGAGTCATATTTGTAAAAACCATTGTTTCTTCACATAAGAAATATGGGCAAAATCTAAAAGTTAAGCTCACGTTAAACACATTGATGTCACATTCTTTCAGTTCTGTTATTGGCTGGGATTTGGTCCAGTGGCATTTCCACTTTGTCCTGCAACCCCAGACTTAAGTCTGATTATAACTAGAATGACAAAAGAGTCTTGGTTCATGGATCCTAATATCGTGTGGTAATACTGCCATCAGCCTGTTTAAAGGTGGTATATCACTCTGGGCCATCCTAAAGCATGGTTCAGAACAAGTAATAAAATAGAAGTAGGTTAGGCTTCAGAGACTCCAGAGCAGGGACAAAACCTTGGCTCACTAAGCAAGAGATTGAAGACTGAGAAATAGCATGGTTTGGGTGCGTACTCACACATAATCATATTAAAAGAGAAATGTACTGTTATTTACAAAAGCTCAGACGACATTGGATAATCAGTTCCATGTAGTTTTCCTTTCAGTATTTTAAAAAATGAAATATGAAATGCAACTGCATCAGCTGCAATCTGGAGAAGACTGGAACGTGAAGAGGGGTTTCTTAACGCTTTCCGTTCTGCTACTTTTTATTTCTCCTACAGGTTGTATGTATGATAGACAATCACAGACATGTTTAACAGAAAAAATCCCTACATGGCTAGAGGTAATTTGGAGGAAAAACCTCATATTACTGACCATCTCGTACAGTTGGGCCTTACCATACATGGCCAAAGTTATATGGGATGTTCTATGAAGAACACACAGACTTGTTATCTTCCCTGTGACATTCAGGTTCATGTGAAAAACCTTGCTGTTAATGGTTCTCCCTCCCACCTCAAAAACTCAATACTGTGCCAAATTTGAAAATCAAGGAAGAAGACAAAGGCATTTGTTTTGTGTGGTGACTCAAGTGGGCGAAATTTCCTGACCAATGACCTGTTCCACTACATGCATAGTATGGCTGATTTGATAGGGAAAACATTTTATTATTTGTTATGTGCATTTGTTTTCTGTCTTATGGCAACCTTAAGGCCACCCTATCATGGGGTTTTCTTGGCAAGATTCAGAGGGGGTTTGCCTTTGCCTTCCTATACGGTTGAGAGAGTGTGTGGGTTTCCATGGCTGAGTAAGTACTGGAACCTGATGAAGACCACTACACCACATTGGTTCAAAGAAAAAGTGCAGAACATACATTTTGTCATGGGAGAGTTAGAGAATTCAGCCCATGAGTATAGAACTTCATTGTAGCAATTATTGTAATTGTAATTTTTGAAAAGACAAGTCTGTTAACATTTAGGTCCAGAGATGTAGAAATTGCACATATCCTAAAAGACAACAAAAGAGTCTTGTGGCACCTTAAGTGTACTAGAGTCCACTTTGTCAGATACCTGTGCCATAATAAATGTATTAAATATTAGACCTGGATCCTAATGGTTAGTCTCAACTAGAGGAGACCCCTTAGGCAGTGGGATTTATTTGTGTGTATTCCATTTTCAGTAGCTATTCAATGGTAGTGGAGACTACTAGGAGGACTCCGCCATTAGTTTAAAGGTCCTCCAAGACTCATATGTGCTTTTGCTATAGGAGACTGATACAACCATCTTTCTGGAAAGTATATCCCAAAAATTACTTTTGCATCCTAAGACAGTTTCTCCAGTTACAATAAATGAGAATTAAGCATTCTTTGCTTTGGTGGAGTTTATTCTAAAATTGTATTTTTGAATTTTTCCAACTAACATGCAAATAAGAAGGAATGCTGGAGCATACTGTTTCTTGAACTTTCTACAACCACATAATCCTGTTAAAAGTACTGTTGTGTTTCTTATTCCTAATCTTGACTATAAAGGCTCTTGAGTAGGGTTACTTTCATCGCTACTTTTCAGAAATCGATCTTCTGTAATAGAATTTTGTTGATTTTTCAAATAAGCATATATGAGTGTGTCCTAAACATTCTGTAAAGGAAGTCTGGGTTTAGAGGTAAGGAGTTGGATTATCCACGGATTCAATCATCCACAGCTTGAAAATATTCCAGAAAGATATTAATTCCAAAAAGCAAACCTTGATTTTACTATTTTATATAAGGAAGGACATTTCACTACATCATTGTATATAATGAGACTTGAGCATCCATGGATTCTGGTATCCATGGGGGTCCTGGAACAAAATCCCACCAGATACCAAGAGCCCACTGTGATTCCCATCCTCCCTAGCCAGCATGGACCATGATGAGACATTATGGGTACTGCAGTCTGGAAGCATCTATAGTTCCCTACTCCTGGGCTAGAAACAATAACAGACGTTACAATCAGATGATTTAAAGGAGTAACATTACTTCAGGTTAAGAATTATGGAAGAGAAACATAGGTATTTATAATTTATATTTTAGGTTGCTAGAGTAAAAATGAGAGGTTTCCTATACCTTAATGGTTGTGTAGAAGAGGGAATTTCAGCAGGTGTTGCTTGTCACAAAACCAGGTAAAAAGCAATGCCTGCTGATATTCTCTATTCTACACAACCCTTAACAGTACAGGAGCCCTCCCCAGTTTTCATTCTGACAACCATAGCTTATATTTATTATATAAATATAATATCCTTAGTAAGTGATTGCTTTCATCTGGAATAAATGCAATATTTTCTTGAGTATGCAATGATGTAAACAGCTCAGTCACCATCAATCTTTGCATTATGTTGCACAGGGACTTGGTGTAGGTAAGAGTTCAGTCTACCTCAGTTACAGCTTATCATTGGTAGTTGTTTTGAAACCTAACACAGTAAAACACATCCAGCAACTCTGTCTGCTTCTCTCTCACACTCACACATTCTTCCTTGCAGGCACTGGATAACAGCAGCCATTGGGGAAAACAGCATTCCAAAATTCTGGGTTTTTCCAAGAGAGGTTAAGAGTATTAACGGGAACAGTGAATTTTCTCAAGCTTGTTGGCAACCTGCATCTCTGAAAATATAACCTGGTTCTTAGATGAATGTTTAAAATGAATGGGTTTAACATTCTGTGTTTTAAATTTAATAAAATACTCTTATACTCTTTCCTCTGCTATAGATGTAGGCAGCTTATACTTTCCAGTTATTTTGGACTATAATCTCCATAATCTCTGACCATTGGTCTTGCTGTATGGGGTTTAATGGATAATTTAGCATCCTACCAATGTCAGCTTGCCTTCTCCTGCTCTTACGCTAAGGTGCCTATTTTTGCTAGTGCTTGATGCCACAAAGTTTTTTTTTAAAAATCCCCTATACATGTTCATCTTGGATGTCCAAGTGACCATGTGCATGATAACCAGTACATGTGTTAATTAATGCTGTAGCCATCTAACACCAATACCCCTTTGGAAATAAGCACAATCCTATTCATATTTATTTAGATACATGTCCTATCCAGTCAACCTCTTTAGCCCAGAAGGGCTAAAACTGTAGGGGACAGGGACAAGTATGAGCCTCAAGTGTTATTCCCAACTAAAGTAGACCACTTTAATCAATGGGAATAACATAGGTGTTGACTTAAGTTCTCACTGATTTAATAGATCTACTCTAGTTTATATTAACAGTTGGATTTAGCCCAGTGTCTGCAAAAGTGTGGATTCCTTTTCACACTTATTGAATATTAAAGGTTTGAAATGGACACATAGGGTTACTAGTTAGATAGTGATGCCCAAGTGCCCTTAGCTAAACACACAGAACCCTTTTCTTAAGACCAATGGAAGAGGACACTATAGGCAGGGATGTTGATGACAGCCTTTTGTGTCCAATGGACCATACTTTGTACAAAGTGTGTGTTTTCATCTGAGTTAAATAAAAGTTGGAATAAGGCATGGCTCAATAAAAAAGACAATAATGCTAGGGATGGTAGAAGGCAGCAGAAAGAGAGGAGGACTGCAAGCCAGATGGATAG